TCAGGGTACGACATAGACATCGTTGGCGGAGAATCTTCTGATGCCGGAGGAGACAGAGCCTGATCCCAGGAACCCCAGGACCCCCATCGAACATGTGTACTTTCAAAAGTGGCGACGGCTTCTGCGGGTAAGTCGACATGCCATTTGTTGGCCGAGATCTCTAGAATCCTGAGCGTACGGCGTGCGCAAAGCCAGCTCTCGCCCATCTCCTCTAAGTGCCGAACACCATGTACGACATCTCTTTGGGCATTCTTTTCGGGGAGATTCAATAAATGCACCGTAAGAGCGGTGTGAGCCATGTATACAGCAACGTTGCAGATCTGCTTGAATCCGTACGTGCGTTTGTACATCCTCAAAAGTTTAGAGATGGCGGAAGCTGCTTGAGTGCAGAGCTTTCGAGGCGAGACATGCTGAGGAAGCGGAGATGTGGACTTGGTGTACTTCAGGAACGGGCGATAGAGGTGTATGAGAAGGAGCTGGTAGAACATGCTTCAGAGCGATTAGTGATCCTGTCATCCGCCATAACACGAGCATCATTAACTCACTGCATGAGAAGCGCCTGAGGAAGCTGTCCATCTTGGGGCCCGAGCTCCTTGGGCAAATCTTTCTTCCAGGTTTCAAGTCTAGTGTGGATCTCACTGAGTTTCTTGAGCTCCGCTTGTTTAGAAGAAAGCTTGTCCTTAGGCTTGGGATCGTAGAAAAAGACAAGCAGATCACCATTGATCTGGCAGAGCTTGGATATCTGTACTGCAATTGCTCTAATCCGCGAAGGCTGAGCCTGGTCCTCAGCGGCTCCAGCATCCGTATACGATGACCACATTGCAGCGTCCTCGTTCGGAAAAATTTCCGGCATGGAGACACCAATGTCCCCAACGGTCCACTGCGGCTGACGGCCGAGGTAGTTGGACCAGCATCTGAAGAGGTTAGTCTCATCAGAGTTTGAAGTGACGGTGACACTACATACTTATCAAAGAGGAAACATCCCCAGAAAGCGATCCGACGCGCATCTATCTCTTCTTCGCTGAGATTACGCACTCCAAGGCTGGTAGAGTCGAAGTCCAAGCCCAAGTCGGACGCCATACGAAAACTCATTCCACTGTAGACCCAACCTTTGCTCTCGCGCCCGCATCCAGCCTCGCGTACAGACATCAGCGCCAATGCTTGGACGGTGCAGAGCTTCGCGTTCGCATGTTCATCGTTCTCGAAGAACAACCGCTTAGCTTCTTTGAAGAAATGATCGCCGGCCGTCGCCGAATTACCCGGATCTTCACGGGCCCCTTCCCAGGAGCTGAAATGGCAGCCAAGCGCTAGCATCGTGTTGACCAGCAGAGAAGAGCAATACTGACTCGAAACTCCGCGGACATAGTCTCGATAGAAAAGGTCCCTCGACAAAGTCGTGAAGAATGGATAATGCCAGGTGAAGTACATCTTCATAAGATGGCTTATAAGTTTCTCATCATCAGTGACTCTGGTCCAGTGGGACACTGAGGCGTCAACACCCCGGCCCAGCTCCTGGTGGTTGGCATTGGGATTGAATTCATTTAGCTCTGAGCCGGGTGGCAAGTAAATGAGGTTGGAAGTGCCGCCAATGAGTTTTCGAGAGCCGTCCAACATAAGCTCACTCATCTTGCCCGACAGCTCCGACTCGAATTGATCGGCCTCGTCCCCGCTAGCGACAGGGGTGTCGGAGGCCAGCGAAGGCTTGTTCTGTTGCCCCAGAATGGATTGCGCAACATCCTCCAAGTTGTCGCACGACCGAATCTGGCGGACCAAGTCGAAAGCATCCTCCTCTTCGTAGTTGAGCAAAGCTTGGATCAGCGTCAACAAGGTGGCGTTCTTCGTGCGCAAAGTGTCGGTGTCTTTCTTGTACACCCCTTTCCTGCGATGGTCCGAGTTCGGGTCATAGACACCTAGACGAGCACATCAGCATGACAAGCTCGTCATGGAGAGGACGGGATACATACAAGCCGTGTGGTATACGGAAGAGCAGGCGGCACAACTGGGTAGGTTACCATCACACTGTGGCAATGGGTAAGCTGTAGAAACAACCGAGGAGGTCACCCGGGTCGAACCTTTGATTTCCTCCTGCGGCAGGCAATACAGGCGGTGCTAACACAGCGCCTTTTCGAGGCCGAAGCATTGTCCCCCGCGGGTCCTTGACCACCTCTCCTCTGGGTCGCAGTAGATGAAGGGGCCGGGCTCATGTCTTGCGGCATCTCCGCGGAGCTGTCTACCATGGCTGTCAGGTCCACCCAGAAGTGTTCGGAGAAAACGTCGAGATGGGGCGGGGCATGCTTCTCAAAGGTGGGAGGAGCTTGGCGATCTGCTGGAGCGACAGGCCTTCATGGAGGTCTCGACACAAGTTGAATGGGGATGATAGGTCGAGCGCATCAACCGGCATAAGCGCCGTGGTGAACGGACGAATCTGCGGGGGAGGAAAGACATTAGTTGGGATGTGTGCATGAAACTAGAGGGACGTCATTGGTGCAGAGGCAGGGGCTTGGTGTGCAGTATTGGGAGGCACAAGGGTGTTGAGCTATCTAAAGACATTGGGGGAGATCACATGCCAAGCAATTCACTTACGAGTTAGTGAGAAGGATCCGATCAGAGCCAGAGGCGCCACGCGGCGATTTGCATCAGATGGACAGATTGAGATGACCCGCAAGTGGAGGCGAGTGACCGTTGTAAGGGTAGCAGGAGGAGCTCCTCAGTTCGATAACCTGGGGTGATGGAGAAATCAGAAGCTGGGGAGGGGGGGATAACAGGAAGACGATAAGAAGGTTTAAAAAATGAAAGAGGATGATTGGACGATGCAAGGACCAGGATGACGATAGGGACCGGGGGAGGATGATGATGATGCAGTGATGCCGGGAGGGTGATTCAGATGATAGATCAATATCAATTGGCAAAAGCAGGGCGGCGGCGATAAGCCAAAGGGAAGGAGAAAAGGGAAGGAGGGGGTAAAAGCTTACTAATGCATTCTCTCTCTCTCGGCCACTTCGGCTGATACAGACAGAGACACTGCCAACTGCCAGTCTGCAACTTTTCTGGGGTTGATCCATCGCATCGACCGGTCTGAAGGCAGTTCAACCCTGGTCAATCTGGCAGGTATCAAGGATGGAATCTGCCTCGTTGTGGTATTGTTTTCCTGGCCATTGTTCCCGTAGATGCTGAGCAGAAGGGAACCAGATGAAGATGAGGAACGGTATCCACGGAGTACTGTATATGAATATGAATCTCACTATCTCACTATGCTACTTATTAGCTACTAGCTACTGACTTTACCGTATATAGGACATATTACATAGTACTATGGAATACTCACATGTCCTCAATATCTCGCCGGGACACCCTATCGATCCATGCTTCTCATTAGGGCAGGTGCATCCGCTCTCTGCCTCTATTGAGTCGTTGCTTAAAATCGAGTCACTGTGAGACGGCGATTGGACCAGACGGCGCAATCATCCGTGAGGGATGGATACAATAATATTAATAGTCCCACAGGGAATTTCCCCCTTTGCTTTACCGCTCCTTCTCCGAGTTACGTGATTCTGTTGTTCATCGGCGGGTGGGAGTGGTTTGAAACTAGGGTCTGCGGGCATTCTTGACTGTTGCTATTACTCGATGACTATTAGTCGTGAGTTACTCCGTAGTTTAAAGGGAACTCCTCGGGAGGGACGGAGTATGCCGTGTCTCTAAGCGACGACTTCCACGATCTTGAGTTGGTGTAAGCCTCGGGCAGGACCGCTGATCATCGCTCCGAACCCAGGATGATTAATTCTGGTCGGACAGCTGCAGGCACCAGACCAGTGCATATATCGAAATGATAGTTGTCGTCAGCATGACTTGCTTTACGAGCAGTCAGGGGTCAGCACGATGACTTCTTCGGGACGAGTCGTTCAACCTGCGCTTAGAGACGGATGCAGGATGAGTTCAGAGTGCAGCGGTTGTCGAGGCATCTGTTCAGTGATGTCGGTGTTCATCAGATAGTGTCGTGTGGAGTGTAGTGTACACCGTACAGTAGTGTAGTATAAGTTAGTGTTAACTGTAGTGTAGTGGTTGGGCACACACTCTATCTATCTTTCGGACAGTCAGTCAGTCACCCTCTGGTCGGTAAATTGGAAATTGAAAGTTACTGTGTGGCTCATAAAGTACGTAAGCCGCGGTAAGATGGAACATTCTTCGGGTGGGGACGGGGGCACTCGGGGCATTCTTCGGCCGCGATCCAGCCCAAAAGACTTACGTGATGGGTTCCAGAACATACAATGAAACGCAGCCCATACAGGACTAGTACTTTTGAGTGGTATGGTATGGTCCCGGCAGTCGGCATCCGCCCTTACCGCCTGAAACGGACCAGCCTCTTTCTGGACAAAGCGGTGAGCGCCTCACTATTAGTGTTGGTGTTAGTGTTAGGAAAGAAAGAAAAGAAAGAAAACTGCCGACCGCCAAGAGTCTCCTTTTCTGCAAGCGGGTTTCTTATTATGCGATTTGAATTACGGATTCCTTTTTTTTTTCTGCCTGCTTGGGGGTTAGTGCAACTCCGCTGGGACCCGATGTTACGGGACTAAGGCTGAGAATTACCAGCTCCCGTTTCTTATCGTTGTCGCTGTCTCTTACTGTAGTTAGTGAGTCTCTCTCTCTTTCTCTCTCTCTCTCCACTCCCATTGAGATCATTACTACGGAGTATGTCTTTTTGCCTTCTTTCTTCATCGCTCCCTTCTCTTCTTCCATCCACCCCCCCGGTCTTCCCACCTTTTTAACTCTCACTTGAGACTACATACATACATTACACTCTCTGCCCTTTTCTTCTATTTCTTTTCTCTCTCCTACTACTATCCCTCATCCTCATCATTCTTCACACCTGCCTCTTTTCCTTATTAGTACACCTGCCAGTCGCGTGCCTGCAGACGCACCCGGCCGTTCTTCCGCTTTTGGCTCCCGCTGGAACTGGGGCTCTTCTACGGAGTACGCACCAGTGACTGCCCCCAGTACCCAGTGCCCACTGCCAACACAGCACAGCACAGCAAAAGTGGTTCTCATCGCTAGCGGATACCCTTATATATTCTTCAGCGGAGTCCACTCTTCCGTTGGGAGAGGTGTCTATCAGACGCTTTTCTCTTTTTCCCTTCCCTGGCCCTCTTTCTATTTATCCATGTATCTCGCTCAGACGCTCGATCAGAGTGCCTCGTCCGGCCTAGGCTGCCTTATCAAACTACTACTACTATCCTTGTCTTGTGAAACGAGCCCGATAACCACGAAACTGTAAAGATGATGGTCCCCAGAGCATTTCTGTTTAGCTCGGTGTCTTCGCCTTTGAAGGGAACTCGAAGCGAGAAGACCCCGGGAGTGCTAGGCCTTCCTGTTATCGAGGGCCTCGAATTGCCCTCCGACGCCGACATAACTTCCTCGGTGATCCCCTCCAGCCCCGTCGTCATTCCTCCGAAACGGGGTCCTCGCATGACCTCCGTACACTCGCAAGCGGCGAACAAAGGGCCCAGGACCCCACGGAAACCGAGAACCCTCACTCCCCAGTCCTCGTCGGGGACGCTGTCCGATCGGCCGGTCCCCAGCTCCATCGCATCGATCCTGGAAGCTACGGCGATTCCCGTGCGTCGACGGGGTGTCAGCGGGCGGGATTCTCGCCGGTTACCGCGGGGGAACCATGTGCAGGACTTCAGCAAGCTGTTGTTGGACGGGGTGGCCGACAACCTGATGGACAGCACGGGCAACACCGCACTGGATCTCCTGCTGAGTCCGCCGGATGACACGGAGAGATCTACGATTGGCAGCGACTGCGACAGCGAGGCGCCGTCGTTCTCAGCGTCTTCCATCTCGATCGCATCCACCCCGTCTCTCGACCGGGATCTGGACTCGCCGCCCAGCCTGCCTACGCCCCCGACCCCGTCCAGCCAGCGAAGCCCACTAGACCGTAGATTCCTGCGATCCCCGCCCTGCGAGAACTGCGCGTTCGACCACCCCCTCCTCGAGACGGAGGACTGCAGCTCCGAGGACGAATTCGACATGGAGTCGTTCCTGGCGGCCGCCACGGTGCCGGCGGCGACCAGCCCGACGCCATCGCGATCCTTCCCCCGCCTCGGGGCGACCTTCAAATCGAATCTGACCGCCTCGCTGCGGGCGATCAAATCGGCGGCGCAGACTGTCTCCACCTTCGCGACCCCGTCGGTGCAACCGGACGACTTCCTGACGCGGTCGATGTTCACGATCACGCCAGAGATGACGGACGACCGACGGCCTCCGCCGATGCACGAGCCGCCCTCGCCCGCGCTCCGCCGGTACTTGAACCCGATCACGCTCTCCCCGGCTGAGATGTACGCCTATCAGGACTACCATCCGCACGAGGAGACCCTGGACGCGAGCGCTAGCCCGGTGGTCTCCGTGCAGATGCAGACCTACCGGCGCGCGGGTAGACGCGGCGGCCACCGCGCCAAGCATCACCACCTCCCCAAACAGCCCCTCCTCCCCGTGTCCGACCCGGACTTCCCGCCGATGACCCGGCCCCGGGAACCGCGGGAGAACAGCGACTTCCTGCGGATGGTGGTGCTGGAGATGAACATGCGGCGCAGCGGCAAACTGCGGGACGATGTGCCGACGCGCGCGCGCATCTGGCTGCCTGCTCGGAAGGGGGTGCATCAAGCCCAAGGGCGGGTGGTGCGCTACGAATGCTACGACGAGGAGGATGAGAATGCGGTTCCGTCGCGATGGGTGGGGATATCCGTTGAAAGCTTGTAATTTTTTTGGGAAGTGTACATAGCGCTTGCTTTTTTTGTTTCTTGGTGGGGAGTTGGAAATCACGGGCATACATCGGCGTTTTTTTGGGGGAGTGGGACACTTGGCGCATTGCTACTATCAGTTCTATACCTTAGCTATACCTACACCTACACCTACACCTGCACACCCTACATATACAGACAGACAGACAGACAGAGAGAAAGACTTACATTGCTAAACCTGCTTGCTTGCTTTTTTCTCTCTTCAAACTAGACTACTATACTAATAGAGTAGTTCATCACAACCCCAAAAGAATTACTAGTAGTCTAGTCCCTTATCTAGCTGCATGAGCCATCACCCACTTCGACAGTCTAAACCGCGGATAAAACCCCCCATCCCAGCCAACCCACGCTAACACCAGCACTTAGTAGCCACTCGGAGTCTCAGACTAGTCTAAGCCTGCAGCCCAAACACTCCTTTCTCGGGAAACAACCTAACCAAAACCTTGTTTCGTGGTGTTGTCTTATTTTCCCCAGCGGATATAGATTAATTCTGGGTAGAATTGGGGATGGTGATCCGAGGGGGGTTCAACCCCCAGGCCCCCAGGCTGCAGTGCGATTGACTAGGTACTCCGTAGTCACCGTAGGTGGTAGGGTGACGGATAAGGATGGCAGCCGAGCAGTGACCTCGATAAGGGATACATGCCCTGAATAGGGGATGTTAGGTGAGACACCAATGGATCCAGGATCCTGTCGCCTACGGAGTAGTTACGGAGTATCCGTACTGTGAGAGACAATGCTATGTATGTTCTATGGCATGTTATATTAGCTGGACTAAGGAGATACCGCACGTGGTCGATCCGCACTCCGTAGTTATACTACCATGAATGACATCCGTATCTACGCATTTCCTACCTCACCCGCTATCCAACCAACTATAACATGAGAGTGTGCATACATGTACTTCCCACGAGAACTGATAGAATTCGAACCTGGAACCACTGGCACCTCAACTTAATTTGACCCAAGGTCCGAAATGACATACCACCCACTGCATCCCATCCCAACCCAACCCATGAAGTCCGCCAGCCAGCCAGCCCGCCAAGCACTAAATGACGACACCGGATTCCGGGGGTGGCAAAACCGCCTCCCCCAGAGCTCAGCTCAGCTCCCAGCTAACTGCTAGCTAACTTACCAGCCAGCTACCCAGTAACTAACCAGCAAATCACACAGCAAGCAAACTTCCGATCGTCAAGATGATGATGATACCGTCATCTTTTGCCTCCCTTCCTCTCCTTCTCAGTGCATGGGATGGATCTGTGGTAAGTTACATAGTAAGTTAAGTCAAGTGAGGTGAGGTGGAGCACCCAAACCCAGCTGTCGGACCGAACAGCGTAATTTTCAAAATCTCATACCCTTTAACTATATCGCTGCATCCAGAAGATGGAGGGTATCTGGGTTCAAGGCCGTAGGTTAACTTCATGAAGTTCACTTCATGATCTTGTTCGTTTCCTGTTCTTGTGAGCGGGGGTGCTTATCTCTGGCCAATCGGAGATAACTTATGCATGGGCGTGTGGTTCAAGAGCCTGCCCTGCCTGCAATTTGGTTGCCTGTTTCGGATGGATAGATATCACTTCACTTCATCAATGGTTGGATTGGGAAGGAGACTGTAAGCCCGGCCTGGGCCTGGTGGTGTGTAGGTGGTGATTAACTCAATGCTGTTGTTGTCTGGGTTGAGCATTCAGCACGTCGATCAGCATGGTTGGTTGCTACCGCAGTGCTGAGGTATGCTCCATCACCCCCAAAGTTTCCGCAAAGGATACATCAATAAATCAATACCTTAGCATTAACCAGCTGCCCGCAGCCCAGCTGTCATCCAGGATCGGTGTAACATCTGCCCCTGCACAGCACCGGACTGGTCAGAGATAAGCCTTTCCCCAAACCTCCGGGCGATCATTGGTGCTCCAGACTTGTATCCACCGATATACACATGATCTGCAAGGCAAAACCCCCCACCAACCTGCCAACCAGCTATATAAACATTAATACCTTAGCCAGCTCACATACCAAGAAAAGAGGCACTGTGACTCAGAGAGCAAAACGCAGAGATAAGCGCCCCATCCCATCCATCCCTGAGCACATCCCGTAGACTACACCTCGTAACCACCTAATAACACTAAACCCCCGCCCCCTGCCCTAAAAAACAAACCAATGCTGAATGATTGATATATCAGCTCGGCCCCAAACCAACCAGCCTACGCCGTGAAACTCCAAGAAGGTGAGACATCATCCTGCGCGATGCGCGTCTACCCGACGTTACGCCTGTCTTTCCTTTCGACCTCCCTTTCCCTGCTTTGGGGGTTGGAATTCTGCCAGCAATCAGCCCATGCTTTTCTTTTCTGATTTCAAAGCAAAGCAAAGACCAGGGGGGACGAGGGGGACTCACGCTCCTCATCCAAAAGCGTCTGCTGCCGCCAGCTCTTCTCCACCCACCCCGTAGTCACGAAATGAGGGATCCGCTGCGCCGCCGCCCACGGCTCTCGTAAAGACCTATACTCAGCCACCGGCAGACCCGTCGGCTGGAGGATGACATGGGTGATGGCCGGGTCCTGGGCGGTGTCGACCACTCGAGCCCCTGCGAACCGCGCCGTGTTTCTGGTCAGCTGGAGGGGGTGGTGGGATTGGAGGTCGTCCATCTCCCCGAAGTCATCGTCGGGGCTATAGTCCCGGTCAGCATCCCTCGTGGTGCGTTGGTGTGCTAACTGGGGAAAGTAAAACACCAGCCCGTCGAAAAGCCAGCCGCAGGGAAGTGGCCATCCGGAGTTGATCTTGTCGTAGAGATGTTCCTTGAGTTTGTCGCGGGCGTTGGAGTTGCGGGGCGTGGCATCCGTCTCCATCTTCTTCAATATCTACGGACATAGTCAGTGGAGACGAAAAAAGTAAGTAGACATCAGGTGTAGCTACCTCGCTCAGCTCCTCCAGCGTGATGTTCCGTGCATAGCTGTCGTTGAAGCGGTCCACGCTCGCAGCCACTTCCGCCTCCTTCTCGGGTGTAGTATAGAACATATGCCTGTTACGTCAGCCACTGGCCTTCCAACCAAAAAGAAAACTCACCTTGGCTCCGTAGGAAGAAGTAGATCCGCAAGACCGGCGTCAATCTCACTCTGTCGAATACAGTCCAGGATCCAGGACGGGCGAATAATATCCACCTCGCCCGTTTTCTGCAACGAAGCCGCCTTGACCGTTCCTGTTCCTGTCAGTCGATCGGAATTTTGCCTGAAGAAAAAACGCTTACTTCTGTCCGCCACGCAGATCATATCAGGAGCCGCCGTATTCGTCTGATAGAACTTGCCGCCATTGCTCTTCACCAGCTGTTCCAATTCCGCCTTGGTCTTCTTGACTGGGGTGGTGGAGTCGGTCATGACAACTAAACATCGCCGTCAGTGATGCAGACGAACTCGCACTAGGACTCGTCCGGGACGAAACATACAAAAGTTCAGCCCATCAAAGATATGCCCCGACGGACCGGCCGACTTGACCTCCGCCCTCGCATCATACCCAGCAATCGCCAAGGGTTTCTTGGTGGACTTCTTCTGGCGCTTCTTGCGGAAGTTCTCCACGTTGAACGCCTTCTCCTTCTGCTCCTGCTCCACGTTGGATTTGAGGTCCAGGAACTCCTGCACCGACAGCGCACTCGTCCAGTCCTTGTCGCCGCGCAGCCGCTTGAAGCGCGGGAAGCGCAGCGTCAGGCCCATGCGGAACTGATCGCTGACCGAGACCGAGGCGGCTTTGACACAGAGCACCACCGAGTCCTCGGGCTTGATCCACATATCCGGCCGCTCGTGCTGCGCGTTGCCCGCGCCCGCCAGCTCGATGTACGCCAGGGGCGGCTTCTTCGGGTTCCACTCCTTCCACTTGCCGTCCGTGTGGTGGCGGATGTTCGCGTAGTCCGCCGCGGTAAACCCGCCGCCGACCTTGCAGAACGAGTAGCATTTGGATGGCTCGGCGGCATGGCGCTGTGACGACGACGCGGCCGTCGCCGCCGAGTCGTCCACCCGCAGTCCGCACAGGAAGCTGGAGAGGGCGCCGCCGCGATGGCCGCTGCCGTAGTAGCCCCCGATGACGACGAGGTCCAGCGACTCCCCAAACTCGGTCATGTACTCCGGCTTCACCTTCATCCAGTCGTCATGGCGCTCGTTCAGCCGGTAGGGGGAGCGCGGGTTCTTCAACACCAGGCCCTCCGAGGCTTCGGCGACGACCCGACGCAGCGAGGCCTCGACCTCGGCGGTGCTGGTGGCCTCTTCGTACGGATGAACCTCGAACCGGCGATGGACGTCCCTGATGCTCTTCTGCAGCGCATTCCTGCGGTCCCGCAGCGTGTACCGCGTCAGGTCATGGCCATTTAGATACAGAATATCAAAGATCCGGAACAGCGGCCGCGAGCCATTGGCGAAGGGGTTGCGCTGCTCGGCGATGGCCGCCGATTTGAGGGTCCCAAACGGCTCCGGGGCATCCTGCTCGGGGTTCCAGGCGATCATCTCGCCGTCCAGGATCACGCTCTCGACCCCGTCGGCAAACGCATCCGCCAGGTGCCTCGTCAGCGCGCCGTTCTCGTCGAACAGCCCACTCCCATAGAGATAGGTATAATCCTTGGCCTTGCGCGACCAGATCCGAAACCGTCTGCCGCCGTCCACCTCCTCATCCGGGCCCATATGCAACTGCATGCGCTCGCCATCCAACTTCTCCTCAATCCAGAACTCGCCCTTCTCCTCATCCTTATCCCCCACAAACCCGCGCATCTTCGCAACCATCTTCTCCAAGCTCTGCACCTGAAACTGCGCCAACTGCGGCTGAAAGCACTGCATCAGCGCAATGCCCCTGCGCTCATCCTCCAGCCGGACATTGGGATCATGCAACTCCCAACACACGCGCCGCAAACTACTCGAGATCGAATACAGGCCCTCGGCGTCGGGATGCCAGACATCGAACAACGTCCGCTCCGACGCGCCCACCTTCATCTGCCGGAGAATAATGCGGATCAACCACAGCAACTCCTCAGGATTCATCCGCCGATAGAACTCCCCCAGAATCGCGATCTGCTCGCCCTCGCGCCCGGCGGCCGACAGCTGGTCCAGTCGCTCATTCACCTCCGCAATCGACATGCTGCCGACCTCCGTGCGCATCGGCCGCTTGGAGACGACGTCGTAGCACCGCCGCGCGAAGTCGCCCGCCAGGAACCCCCCGCGCGCCTCG